GGAGGACCCCGGATCGTGTCAGGCCGAGATGTGAGCCACCTTAGCGCGCCTCGGGGGTCCGATGGTGTACCTGATAATTGCTTTTTTGGTAGATTTTGAGCCTCAAAACACTTTCAGGGGCCATTAACTAGCAAAATTCATGATGATGTCTTTGGGCTGCTGGGGAAAATAGCATGTTGCCGGGCTTTCCTATTGATGCCGAATGACAGTTGAATGACGAGCGTTCAGGGTAGGAGCGGTCTAACGGAGGCAGCAACAGCAGCAACACTACCCTTACCAAGGGATTACTGACACGCCCCATCACCCAAAATGTCTGTTGTTTCCATTGCGCACCTTGAGGATAGGTTGGAGGGTAGGAATGTGGACATTCACTCGACGGTGACGCTAGGCATTTGCCGACTGCCCAAGCCAACGTCTCCAGCCACATGAACTTGTCGTCATCTGTTGCCCTGTTGAAAGCGTTAAGAGATAACCCCGACAATGTTCCATCTCTAGACTAATACAAGAGTCGCACCGTAGGAACTTTCGCATTCGTCAAAAGTTTAAACTTGTCCAGAGTACGTTCTAGACATTCTCCAGCACGTGGCAGCGGATGCAGTTCCGATCGACGCTATGTTGGCGAGATGCCGATTCCCGTCCACAGGCACCATCATGATGGTGCGTGTTTAAACTTCCCGCCCACAAATACCATCAAGATCGTGCATGGCTAAACTTTGTCGGTGCCATGAACTCGGGAGCATCTCCGCAGATGGTGTTTGAGATCCTTTAACTATGCCTCGCGGGCCAGCATCTGTATCTTGAGCAGCATCCAGTCCACTCTCGTAGTCACAAACAACACTCATTCGCTACGAGAGCGCCTCCAGTAGACGCCATGCTGAACGATCTTTACCGACCCGGTGTCGTGAGCGAGCCTTGGGGACCACTCATCTCACCCGATTACACAGAAGACGAGTTCACCAATCTCGATGTCCTTGTCGCTTCCATTCCATGGGCCCTCACGTTGGCAAACGTTATACTCGCTTTGTGGCAGATCTACCATCAAACCAAATTGGCGAAAACTCCGATTCGAAGTCCTTATTTATGGATGGCCTGGTTGGAGCTGGGGGCTTGTTTTGCGTTGGGTCTTGTTGGCTACCTGCATGTGCTGAAACACATTCCAGCGAGTGAGTGTCATCCATGCCCCCGAAGACACTGTATTGATAGTTTGCAGGCTTTGCTTTCTACTTTGGAATCTGTAAGTTGCATCTACCGAATTGATCCTTCCACTACATCACTAATGCTGCATAGTGGCCTGCTGGAGCTTCCAGGTCATGCTTCTTTTCCAGATTATCGTCAATCGCATCAGAGTTATTGATGTTAACCGCAAGCACGGCGACAACATTTTTATCGCAGTAACTGTCTATATCACGGTAGTGATCATCAGCGGCTTCATTATTTGGATCCCAGCCCGGATGCAAATTAGCCACTATTGGGAGTTCATCTCAGCGGCTTGGGATCGCACTGAGAAGTGTCTATTCCTCATTATCGATTTGGCGCTCAACTGGTACTTCTTGAGAATGGTGAAGAACAATTTGATCCGCAACGGTCTCACGAAGTGTAAGCCAGTCCATGCGCATGCTACACTACAAGGTTAGCGCTGACAGTTATACTTACATTCAGACAACAAAATCGTTCAATTCAACCAGCGCATCATCGTTCTGTCGATTCTAATGGATATTATGCTTATCGCCGCTACCGCTATTCCCAAAGCCTTCGTGTAAGTTATTCTTCACCTATTTGTCTAGCTCTGTTCTAACGATTCGCCATCTTAGCTACGTCCAATTCCACTCGCTGTGCTACCTCGTCAAGCTCAACATCGAAATGGCCATGGCCAACCTGATCAGACGCATTGCCATCTCGAACTTCACCCGAACCGGCGCAGTACACGAGTTCAAGGACCCGTCTACCTATGCATCAGAATCTTATCACAATACCTTCGTCTCCAATCGCGGCAGTGTCCAGCTCGGCAGCGTCGGCAACATCAAGGCAACGACACACTACACCGTGACATCCGAGGCCAACCCATTCCCAAACAGGGGGCGTCAACCTTCGCGTGTCGAGGTGGATATCTCCAAGGGGAACACGGACAGCTATAGTGGGACGAACCGACCGGTGATTGTCATTGAGGAGCCGGAGACGAAGAGCTTGGACGGCACGACAGAGGTTGCAGAGAGTTACCACACTGACGATGAGGCTGTGCTCGTAGAGAAGCGGGGACATTGGTGATGTCGACTCGATCGATTTCTTCGCAATACTTGCTTCGATAATGGATGCAGTACAGCTCAAGCCTTCGCATCGCGGCAGACCGCACTACGGAAATTCTTCCAATCGACTAGTACTCGATGCCACCGGCGCCCGCGCCAGTTTTGGGAACTTTGAGCCTACTTTAGGGTTGCAGCATGGAGTACTTGTGCGGATTTTCAACGAACTCATTGGATTGTGCCACGACAAGGATGCTGGGACATGGTGTGCAGCCGATACAGGAGGAACAGTTTGGTCATGTGCTGAGGATAGCAGTAGTAAGACCATCGTGTTGCACAGTCTAGCTAGAATGTTGTAGTGTCTAATCATAATGATAACGAGCGGCGGGGACTTCCTTCCGTTTTTACCTCACTCGACATCAACACAGCAAGCAACGTTCATGACTTCGCATGCACGTTTCTCACTCTATCAGTCATCGTGGAATCCCACGTCTGCTCCAGACACCTGCGGCATTCGTCAGAGTTTGTAGCCATGCGCATGTAGTAGCCTGGTACATCAGCTTCGTTTACCGTGCCACATACCACCTAACCTATCTCATACTAGCGCAAGGCTGCAACGGTAGTAACGCCCGTGATAACAGCGTCTTAACATGCTGAACAGATTGCTCTTATTTACTACTTCGACTCCACCTATTTCGCCTTTCCAGAAACCATCTACGTCTACCAACACTCAATCATACGTACACATCTGCCCAAGCCACTCCTCACCTCTATCTTCCCCGCCGCTATGGAACAAATCACAAAGTTTGTCGACCACCTGTACACGTATCCAAGAGTCGACCAGCTCCACGCGTACCCTGAAGATTGGGATGACAAGTCGCAAGAGGACAAAAACCAGTTTATGGAACAGTTTCTGGAGCATTGGGGCTACACGATTTACAGAACATACTATGGCCCTGGATCTGATGAGCAGTGGACAAAGCTGCTTAAAAACATCACCGACGGTGTGGAAAAAGGTCTCGCCGAACTGGAGGAGGCGGACAAGAAGCCTGACGCTGTCACGAAGGCAAGGGATCGGTTTCGACTCGATGCACGCTCCCTTCCCACCACCTTGAACGGATTGACACTGGAAGACCTCCGGCAAGTGTATCGGGAAGGAAGTGGGGGCCAACCGATGAGGGGGTTACAGCGCAACAACTGGGGTACTACCATCTTTCTGTTAGCGGATGCTCAAGTGCTACAAGATCCTGACCTCAATCTGCTGAAAGTTGCGGACGCGAAGTATGACCCTGTTGCTGCTGTGCCAAAGAATGCCCGGGTTGGTCCGCAGCGATACTTTGGATGGTTCACCATACCAACGACAGCCGTTTTGGACTTTTACAATGAGATGGACATATTCACATTTGAGCAAATCTCCAACCATGCATTGCCAGGAACACACTGGGATGTGGGGTGCAAATAATTGGAAGTAATAGGCTACATATGTGTGCCGGAGACGGGTAGAAAAGGGAAAATGAAGTTATGGTTACTGCGAGAGGGCAGTTGCAACGCTCACCAAGCGCAAACATCCCCAGGACCAAAGTTTATTTGAGTGAAGTGTATCAATGCAAGTTTACCAACCAATCCCACCACGCCCACCACCTTTACCGACTTCCGTGTCTTGATAGTCTCAATCTATGTCCATATTACCACCTACTTCCATCTCTCCGCTCATAGCGATTCAAACAAGTAGGACATCCCGATAAAACCTATACCCAGTCCGAGCATGACAACACGAAATGTTACACGAGACTCTCTCTCGTAGTCCCTCTGTTTTCTCTGCTCTTTCTTCTGCCGTTCCTTCTCCCGCCGTTCCTGCCGCTGCGTCTGCTCGCGGACGCTTTCAACATCATGCACCAGACTCCGTACAACCCGTTTCGCCTCGCGCTCAGATACCTCATGTTTTGCAGCAAGCTGCTTGATGAGGATTTTCTTTATCAAATCCTCCCTTTCGCGGCGGGCGGCTTCGAGGTTCTTGGTGCGGACATTGTAGTTTTGTTCGCTGTCGGCGCCGGAGTAGTCTGTTGGCGGAGTGGCTGCGCGTGTGACATAGTATTTTTCGATCACTTTGACCAATTTGTCGTCTGGCAGGAATGGTCCTCCGGTTAGAGGCGCTTTGAGGTAGACCCGTTCGTGTGCTATAAAGGGGCAGGTGGCGCAGTGGAGTGCTGGATTGTGGGCGATATGTTCTCCAACGCGTTTTGAGACGGGCGTTGCAGAAGAAGACGCCGCTCGTACTTGTCGCGAAAGTGGTCTTGAGGCGTTCAAGATGCGTGTGCGCATCATGGGTCGAAGAAGCGACATTTTGGTGAAGTTGAGTTGGTCTGATATTCAAGATGACCTCGTGAGATGATATGGCTACGTAAGTTGTTTGAAAAGATTTTCTGCATGCCATGCAGGCAGCAGGATAGTATTTATCCGGTCGTGATAGTCATCTGGTTCTCTACGGTTTTCCGTTGTAGTACCACGGTTCCAGAGAAGACACTCCACCAATCTTGACACATCGGGAGGAACCGGCTTGAATACCGCCAACTCAGCCCCTCACACAGTCTCTTTGCTGAATAATTGCTGGTATTCACTTCTGCCTTCGCGACTTGTAGTTGCCATAGCGACTAGTCACTGTACTAGTAGATATGTAAGAAGAAGCCAAGATAAGAACAGCCATTACTACGACTTGTCAAAGACTAGAGCGCGAATTTATCCAACGGAAGTACCAACAAGATGAACAGAGATAGGTTCCGGTAAGCCGCTTGCATCTACTTCTTCCCATCCATCGCTGACTCTACACCCAGCTTTCCCGAAGCCCCGGATGCAATCAAGTTGTACATCATCGACGCCGCTTCTAAACCGATCGCGAGGTACACCGTCCGTAGCTCCAACCTAAATACTTCCGGCTTTCTTCTTGCGCTTCTACAGGATATCAGTAATGGATCGATTCAAGTACCCTGGAACGGTTCCCTTCCACATTTCGAAATGTACTGGCTATGGCTGATAAGCCATCAAGTCAAGACGACATCGGAACTAAAGCGGACCATTACAAACAACCATACCGGAGGTCAGAGGACTATGCCAGGCATCACCACGAAAGAAGACTACGCCGATCTGCTCCGCTGCTGGGAGATAGGCCTTACCTTCAAAGACACGTGCTTCATGGACATGATCGCCTCCTCGATTATCGACCGGCTGAGGGCTTGGGCTGAAACTACTCCCTCTACTTCGTCGCCACCCTTCATTTACGCACTCTTGTCCGAACTCGTCCGTAGCATCTACAGTCGTAGTAGTCCTGAGACGCCTATTCGCAGACTGATAGTCGACGCCGTGGCTTACTTTGGGCGAAACGGTGATTTTGTACATTTTGCTAGCGAAGTTGGGTATCCGATGGAGTTTGTCAAAGAGGTCATGCTTGCGTTGGGTAAGCGGAAGGAGATGCTAGAGACGCTGGCGCTTGGGGGTGGTGGGCAACCGAAGAGTATCTTGAAGCAGAGCTCTGGCGGCGGCGCGAAAGTGGTCAGGTTCGGAACCGAGCAGCAGGGCGGTGGCGGCGGTAGCAGTGATCGTGTACAGAAGGAGGTTTTCGCGGAGAATGAGTGTGCGTATCATTTACACACAGAGGTTGGGGCGCCGTGTTGGCGGACAAGCGTATAGATCGTGCGCTCAAAGACAAGCTCAGAAGTCAGATATGGATTCAAGGGCAAGATACGACACGTATCAGAAGAACAGGAACATATCATAGCCAACGGAAGGCAGGCAAGAGCGCCAAACCAACCACGTCTCTATTTCATCACCACCACGACTATCTAGTATCTACTACCACCAAACTCATCTACATGCTTTCTAAGGATATCATAGCTCTCGCAATATACGCTCACCAACAAACCAACACAAGCGAATGACGTGAAAAAATGCTGTAGAAAGATGCATGCTTATGTGACTGACGTCTACTCAAACGACCATCATATACACAACCAAAAAGGAAACCACCGGGACCCGCCCAAGCAGCAATGACGATGCGTGAGTGGATGACCAGTGGGAAGAGAATAGACAACGTTCCCCTATCCGTCATATACACATCCACCTCTTTCGCAGGCAGGCAAGGGTGGTACAACCTACAAGAAAGGCAGCACCACACCCTTCCTCATCGGACTGCCCCTGCCATCCACCGTGCTGCCCTCAGCACTGTATCCAGAATCGCGATCAACGTCGTCATTATCAAAGTCGATGTCGAAATCTGGTTCTTTTTCCTCCTCAGCTTCCTCGCCATCCTCGTCCCCGTCCCACGCTTTCTGTGTCGCGCCGCGCGAGTTCCAGCGGAGCGTGCGACTGATGCTATCGAACCACTCGGTGGGCTGGGAGAGGACGGTGGGGAAAGGGTACTGGGACGCGGCGATGGTGACGTGGTCGCCCTGGCGGAGCTCGACGCGGCCCTTGCCGTCGAAGGCGCAGTAGGCGGTTGCGCGCGACTTGAGGGGCACGGCGATGCGGAGGAGCATGCTGTCGTTGAGGAGCATGGGGCGGAAGGAGAGGGTGTGCGGGCAGATGGGGGTGAGGAGGATGGCGGGGATGTCTGGGTGCACGAGCGAGCCGCCTGCGGAGAGGGAATAGGCGGTTGAGCCCGTGGGCGTGGAGAAGATGACGCCGTCGGCTTGGACTACGGTCAGCAGGTTGTTGTCGCCGTACAGCTCGAGGTTCGAGACGTAGGGCGATGGGCCGCGGTCGATGACGAGCTCGTTGAGGACCTCGAATTGCTCGGCTTCAATGTGCGATGGTGAGCCCTGGGCGGCGGCGTTCTTCTGGTACCGGTATACCGTGCATGTGAAGCGCATGCGTAGGTTCACGCGCATACCAGTTTCGCACATGATCTTGTCGAGCGCGGGCCTGTACTGTGCGAACTCGAAGTTGGTGAGGAATCCGAGGCTGCCGAGTGAGAAGGAGAGGATCGGTGGCACGATGCGCTGGAAGAGCCATGAGGTGAAGAGGACAGTGCCGTCTCCACCAAGAGTAAGGACAAGGTCGAAGATCTCAGGGGTTTCCCAGCATAGATCTGGCGTCCACCAGCGAAGCATGTTCTCATAGCGTTTGTCCTTGGCCAACAGCGAGGCTGCGTCGAAGCGCTTCGACTTGCGCAGCTTGTGGTCTACGTAGACATTCACTCCCACGTCTGAGCCGTAGCGCGAGGTCGTCATGAGCCATTCTGCCAATTCGCGCGTGAGGTATACAAGGTTGTTATCGCGCGCCTTGGTGACAATCATGACATTGCGCACCGTCATCTTGATGGGTCGGCGCTGCAACTGCTTCGAGACCTCACGGACGCTGTTCGCGGTCTGCATGAGTCGCGAATGCGATATCGTGTCGTCCTCGGCATCGCCCATCTCTTCCATGACCTTTCCAAGGTTCACAGCCTTGTCAAACTTCTTGTGGAAAAAGCATGGTGATGCGAGCGCAGCCATCTTGCTGGCGGAAAGGTCGGCCGAATGCAGTTCCAGCTCGTTGAGCGCCTTTGCGAGTTGCGAGTGCGTGATGCTCTTTGAGCGCGCACTCTTCCCTGCACTCTCCATTATGGCGGTGTCCATGGACTGTGACGTCGACGATGGTGGTGGCCGAGACTGCAACGCCTTAAGAATGGTCTGGCGGGGGATCGCAGAGTCGATGGAGCAGGCGTTCTTGCGGTGCTTCCGGATGCGATGCTCGCCAAAAGAGGGCACGCGCGGGAGGACGGAGAGGTTCTCGATGGACGAGGACTTGGTGATAACGGTGGGGTCGTCGTTGCGGGAGGATTCGTCCGAAGTCAGACTGGCTGGATCTTGTGTTGCAGCGGGCGTACCGCCAATTTCTTGCGTTACTACCGATGCATTATACGGCGCGTCCTGGGGGCAGTGGACGCTGGTCTGCGGAGGCTGTGGAGACTCTGGGCGGGTGGGATTATTAAATGAGGCATCGGCATCGACGGGGTTAAGGTCGGAGAAACTTGAGTTGGGCGCCTGTGGGGACAGGAGCGGATGAACCTTGGCCGGACTAAACGGCTCCCCATTCTGGTATGTTGCCGATAACATCGTCGCTTGATTCTGTCTTAGTGATCGAGCTTCGTTAAGCGCGCTTGGTGTGCAGGTTGGCGAGTGCGATATTAATCGGCGTCGTTATTCGGTTGCGGCGGCAAGTGTGTTCGCAAAGTATGTACAGCGAAAGATGAACGTATCCAGACAGTTCGGTCAAAGGTAATAAATGCTCCAGGCAAAATGAAAAGGAGAGGAAGGAAGCGAGGGATTGTACTACTGCATGGGCGCGAGTCGTAACGTTGTGTGATGGCTGCTAACGGTGATCGTGTAACCCGTCGTGGAAGTAAAGATTATATTGAAGGAAGAGCCCGGCTCGACCTTGTACAGAAAAGAAGAAGAAGAAGACGCGAAGTGTGCACGACGGTGTCGTGGCCGAAAGAGCGAAGGCGCAGGTGGGGAAAGAAGGTGGTGCAGCTTGAGGCAGGTATTAGGCACGATGCGAGACCTACTATATTCACTCTCCGTCTCAATGACATCTCTGCCACCGCCATTATGGAGCAGTGCCACATCACGATCCCATGCGCCAGCCTCAAACCAAAGATTCCGCCATCTGTAGCGGCTAGCCCACCGGCAACGTTGTGACACTTCGCGTGTCACAAACTCGTGGGTCCACGCCGGAGCATCTGCCAAACATAGAACGACGCTTCACCCCAAACCGCGATCTTGACACAGATCACAACGGCCCAGAAGTTCCTGTCATCCTGTCTTCGCAGGCACGCTCCACAGCATGGCCACACCGCTGGATTGACAGAATCCTTCGATGACCCTGAGGTTCGTGGTCGAGAAGCGCTCGCTCACCGACGGGTCTCAGTTGTCGGATCATACCGACACCCTCCGTGTTTGATCCACACTTCGTTTACAAAGCCACAGCGGGTACTACAGTCAAGGGGAATTGTAATCGTGATTCAGTACGAATCGCATCACCGCAAAAGTTATGCCATCTGTCGGCTGTACTAGCGAGATCATTTGGAGGACGAAACGACCCAACGTGGCCTAGTCCGCAGCCAACAGTAATCGGTTGCTTCGAATCTTCATCTGGTACAGGAGAGTTTTAGACGAGACAGCTCACTCCTCGCTAAATGTAGACCTCTTTGACACGTCTACCGGGCGATTGCGGACTGCATGACATTGCTGCCGTTAGTACCGATGGCCCACAGACCTCATACGCCGCGCATGGCTAAGACATGGAATGGAAATGTGGCAAGCGTGTACGGCACACGTCGCGTGGAACATTGAGTGAAGTGGGCTCATAACCGCTACCGACATGGTTGCAGGGCCCGTCTCCGTGTCGTTCCCGTCCACTCACAGGCCAGCGACTGTGTGTTTGCCTCAGAGCTCAAGCTGGTTGCTGAAACTCGCGCATGATAACAGCCTGCCCAGGCACCATTTCTCACTAAGCGTCCGAGAGCCTCAACTGCCGATGTCCTGGAAGTTGGACGCATTGTTGTGCGCTGGCAAGTGGGGTGCGGTCCGAAGCGCAAGAGGTAACCAGGCGCTTGTGGCTGTCATATCGCCGGGTTGGTGTAGAATGTTAGTAGTTAGCAGAACAATCACGCCTAAGCGTATGCAGTCGGAAGTATCGATATTTCGTTGGGTATGACTTTACAGTCTTTTGATATTCATCACATATCGTGGTATCTAGTGAGGTCGTAACGAAAAGAAATTCGACAAGCCAGACGCTTATTGGAGAGCCTTGCGAGCAAATGTGGGCAGAACGAAAGCCGCCTCGTGGATCTCCTTGCTGTAGTACCTGCAAAGCTGCTCCTCCTCTTCGGTAGACCAGCTGCGAAGGGGCTTCTTGAGGTCGCGGTTGGCGTCCTTGCTGCAGACCATGAAACCGATCTGGCCAGAGGGGTAGGTGGGGATGGTGGTGTAACCGTACTCGACGTTGGGGAAGACCTCCTTGCAAGCCTTCTTGAGGTTGACAATGAGGGGCATGTGAAGCCATTGGTTCTCGGCTATACAAGAATGTTAGCCATTGACCAAAGCAGCACCTTTCCGGCGCATGGCGGTCGAAAAGTGGACGTGAACTGAGCGGACTAGGAGAGGGCTTACAACCTTGGGTGGTAATGACACCGCCTTCGCGGAGCGCACCGTTGAGCAACTCGAAGTAGGACTTCTGGAAGAGAGCCTCGGCGGGACCCTCTGGGTCGCTGGAGTCGGTGATGATGACGTCGAACTCGCCCTTCTTGTCCTCGAGGAACTTGAAGCCGTCGCCGACGATGGTGGTGGTCTTGGGGTGCTCGAAGCCGACAGACATGCCGGGGAGGTATTGCTTGGAGAGGCGGATGACAGCCTCGTCGATGTCGCAGAGGGTGGCCTCCTTGACACAGTCGTGCTTGACGACCTCACGGAGGACACCACCGTCACCACCGCCGATGACCAAGACCTTCTCGGGGTTGGGGTGGGCGTTCATGGCCAAATGGGTGATCATCTCCTGGTATCTGCTCTACTATTAGCTATTGTCCGCGTTTTCCCATCCGGTTGTGACGTACGAGAACTCATCGCGCTCGGTGCATTGAATGACGTTGTCGAGGACGAGGACGGTACCGTAGTTGGTCGACTCGAAGATGAGGACGTCCTGGTACTTGC